GGGGAGGACAGGTGGAAATGTGTGAAGTGGTAAGTATCTATCAGAAATACATTTTCAGATTAGGAAATGTAAACTTTCCAGATGATAACTCACTTCTGCACACAGAAATGCTAGAATCCCATGCTGAATTGATAGAGGGGACATCACAAAAATTAAACCCAGAAGAACTCCCTTCAGAAAGTGTCAGAAGGGAAACCCCATAGCAAAGGCTATCTCTTCACCTGAGATGAAAAAGAGGGAAAGGCAAAAGAGCCTGAAGTATCACAGGGATGGTTAGAATGTGAATATGGCCAACTGAGCACCTGAACACAAGTGGTTGGTGAGCCTATATGTTTAATATGATTAGGGAATGATCAGACAGCACATTGTGTGCTTATCTCAACTCTACTGGACAGACTCTGGCAGCAGGAGGAGAATGAAGGTCACATTAGCTGTGTGAAGGATGACCCATACTACACTGACAAAGTCACTACTGATCTACTTTTTACCATATTGTGCTAATCCCACCTGGTGAGGATTCTCCATGGTCCACCACTCCAGTGGCTAAGAACTAGTAAGTGGCAAGGATCTCCCATGCTTCACTTGAAGAAGGGGGGCTGGGTAGAGAATGCATGTTGTGGAGACCTAAACAAATGCTTGGATCCCCATCAGATTACCACTTGGAAAGGTCTCTTACTGGAGACAATGAAATGGGTGACCATGAAACTCCATTTGTAAAAGTGAGCAAGCACAAACCAGAGAAATGGGCAGCTACTTCTCTGGTGCTGGCTTTTTCCATGTTAGTCCATGAAATTGGTACAGTCTGGATCAGACAGTTGAGTAAATTTGTATACCACGAGGATACATCAACTGATTTTGCATAACACCTCATCTCACAGAGGGCACTGGTAGAGCCAGGGCGCATTGGCTCAAAATGTCCTATTATCCTAGATTGATGCAAATTTTGGGAAATAAGCATATCTTGAGAAGCAGCACCAGTTACCTGATGAGATCCTGTTTGATTGAAATATAGAGAAATAAAAGGAAAACATAGCAAATTCAAAGGCACTGAGTTGACTGAAGTATGGCAACAAGTAGAAGTCAAAAGCCTCTTGAAGACGAAACAGCCAGATGGTGAAGAGATAAACAACAAATGCGTAGGGAATCATCCACATGCCTGCCTGTATGATCTCATGTAAGGGCCAATGAAAATGGGAAGCAAGTGAATGAGAAAGGTGATAAATTTGAAGCAAAGAAATGCAAAACAGCCGGTGAGCATTCACACCAAGGGAAGAATACACCAACAGGAGAAGATGATGGACACATCCAGTAAGGATACGAGAGAGGTCCCTAGAAGAAGAGTAAGAGTCCTCTGGGTAAGAAAAGAAGATGTCCATGATAAATAGCAAGAAACAGCCCAATCAGAATACAGTTATCAATTCAGATCTGAATTATCATAGAGATGAGAGCTACAATGAAGGGAAATATGAGAGAGAGAAAGGATAGTTATCCTCCTGAGTGGCAGAAGTCTGAGGAAGGTAAAACTGGTCTGAGTAGAGGAGTATATAACTGGGAGCAAACCCAACAAAAGACCTGGGGGTGGAGAAACAATTCCATGGGTGGAACTGAATCTGGAGAAGATAGGCAGTCTATCACAAGGTACATAGCTGCTGGTACATGACAGGCAACAAGACAAACCTGATGTGAATGAGTCCAGAAGAGTAGGTCCAAGACCAAAAGCAAAGATTCATGGAAAGGGTGCCTCTTAACAGCTGATGTAAGGAATAACTGTGGAAATGTCAGAGTAGATTATGACCAATTAATCCACCAAAAGAGGCAGGAAATAGGAAAATGACAAACAAACAGTGAGAAGTTTGAGTACATTGATGTGGAGTGAATGCATCCAAATGTAGAAGTCATGTTGTTGTCAAGAGATACACCCCAAGCTGATAGGGAAGCATCAGCAAAGTGATAGATCTGGTTTGGGAGTTGGCAAGGGAATGCTAGAGGCAGTGTTGGCATAGTCTAGCCACTATAACAATTCCTCAAGGAGAGGAGAGGGGAGGTTCACAATCTAGGACAAAGGAACCTGAGGAATAATCCATTGGAACTGGAAAATCTACTGAAGGAGGTGCATATGTGTGTGTGTGCTCAAAGGAATGAGGGGTTTCAAAGAAGCCATAGTCCACAAGAGTGAAAGAACCCCACATGCAGGATGAGAATCAGAAGCACAAGTACTGGTGTACAGATATTCCCTAACTCACAGGTCAAGAGGAGAAGGCTGAACTTTGCCGAGACAAGAGATGAAGAAAATGCCCAGATGTACCAACTACTAAGTGAGTGTGAGAAATAACTAAGAATCAGCCAACAGAAGCCAATCATTCAAGAAAAGGAATGACAGCTCCAGAATTGGATAATGGCAAGTGAAAGCCCTAACTATACAAATGAATACAAAAAAGTTCAATGCTATATTGAATAGAAGTGCAAGGAACTGGAAGATGTGAATTTTATCAATAGAAGATAGAAAATATCTCAAGAATGGGGTAATAGGGATATGCAAAAAAGTTTCCAACATGTCATCCATGTTCAACTGCAGACCAGGTGTAAAATACCATAGATGGGATTGGAGAGAGGGTAAAAGCAAATGGAAAGAGAAGCAATGAGAAGAGAAGTATGGAAAGATACTGTGGGAGAGAAAATGAAAAACATCTGTCAGCAGATACTAACACCAATTGTTGGCAAAGAGAAAGGGACAGGTACCCACATGGCCTGATATTACAGAACAGCCAATAACAAGAAAAGAAATGAAATAGACATCAGGTAGTGGGAGGATGAGGACAGGAGGAATGCCTGGAATATGAAATGGGAAGGTTATGGGTAGACTGATCCAGACAAGGAACAGGAGTTAAAGGGCATGGTTGAAATAGAAGCAAAACCTAGAAATATAACTAGGACTGAAGTTGTGCAATATCAGTCCAGGTCTACAGTGAGAAATGAATACCACCAAACACATCTGTACAAAGAAAGGGAGCCCAACAAAAACCATGTACACAAGAAGGAGAAAGGTGTAAGCTGAAGAGAAATGCAACCTGACCCAATAGCATGGGAACTAAGTAAGATCAGAAAGAGCAAAATAACTGGAACAGGCTAAACTGGCAAAGAGAAGGAAACAAACCTCTACAGAAAATGTATCTGGAACATGAAGAAGTGCCTCAGACAAAAGGTGGATGATGGTGAGAAAAATATGAAAACACAAAAATGGGGATCTAGAGAGTGAAGGAGAAGGCAAAGGGCCCAATCCCCAAGCAAATCAAATAGATAACAAAGACATGAAATCTAGAAAGGAAATACAGAATTTTTGTGAGTCAGGACAAAAGAGTCATGAACACAAGGGGAATGAGGCATTTGCGTGTGAGTGAAGAGCTGTTGGAGAAAGGAAACAGCATAAACACCAATAAGAATGTAGGAGGAAAGACAAAGCAATTGGATTCATGGAAAGAAGAATGGGAAAAATTAAAGAACACATGTGAAAAATAAGGAAAGGAACATACCTAAGAATGACAACCATAAAGAGATAGGATGATTAAGGCTATTTTTCCAATGGTAAGGTATTACCCAAAACAAATAAGATTAAATTCCTAGTCCAATAGGCCATTTATGACTAATGAGAAAGAAAGTTAACTAAAAGGAAGGGAGTAGGAGGCCTAGTAAGCATGTGGTAATCCACAACACATTGAACAAAAGCTGCAATATTACCAGCAGTCAACAGGCCTCCAGAAGCCATAATAGAAAAAAGGCCCGTGTGTGTGTAACCTTGTCACTCACACAGGATTAAGTAGAAGTCCTCAAATTTGAGAATTAAAGATAATAATCACTGCTTTTGAAACAAAAGCCAATGTAAAAGGAAAACTAAAGTTTTGTGAACAAAAATGCATCTCATCAAACTGAACTCAGACATAAAATTTCAACCCATCTGTTCACTGTAATGCTTAAGAAATTAACAAAGTTATTATGAGGACAAGTGTATAGTGGGAGTTACTGAACATGGAGGTTTTGTCGCCTGTCTATTGGTGGAGAGCTATTGATGCATGATAGCGTCATCATGCACCAATGTAGTTTACTTAAATTACACATGTGAATTTATGTGGGAATTAGCTCAAGGCTAGTGGCAAGCCTATAGTGATAGTGATAAGAAGAAGTGTGAGAAAATAGCATATGTGTGTGAGGAGGTAAGTTATTGTCTCCGAAGAAATCAACTGCCTCTTTATATCTAATGAAACTTGAAAGAACGTCCTACAGGCTCATTAAATTTTGCTTCTTCAAGAATGCTTGAAAAAGTCTATGCAGGATTACTAGAAAGATAGACACTTAGTACATTCAATATATATAAAAAACATACTTGGAGAGATTTTAGTAAGTCTGACAGTGTTATTAAAAAAAATGGAAATATTTTTATAGCAAAAGTGAAAGCAGCTTAAATTTAGAGAAACCTAAGATAAAGCCTATCATTTAATAAATTTTAGAGCTTATGAAATACAAACTTTTAGAGTTAAAGTTCAATGTGCTTTAGCATACTTAAGAAAAAATTGAACTTCCTTCGTAAAAAACATTCAACTTACAAATAAAACCACCAAAAATGATAAAAAAACAACAGTGTGAATCTGTTTTAACAAAGATGAAAAAATAAATTCTAAAAAGAATTCCTATAATATTAACAACTGCCTAAAAATGTCCAAAAAACCATACATGACATTAGATGTAGATATATATATATATATACATACATATATATAGCACAACATAATGTTTAGGGACAACAAGGGACCTATTGGTCCATCCCAGCTGCCCCAACCTCTAAACTAAATTAAAACTATTAAGAAATAAATTTAAAATTCTTAAAGCCAGCCCTTATCATTAATGTAGTTATCTAGCTTTCTCTTAAATGCACTTAAATTTACTGCCTCCACAACTCTGAAGGCAACCCATTCCAAAAGCCAACCACCCTGTTAGAAAAATAAAACTATTCTTGCTATTAAGTATGAAAAAAAAGATGATGCATCAACACTATCAATTCCCTTTAAAATCATAAACACCTCAATCAGATCCCCTCCAACTCTTCGTTTTTCAAGAGAAAACAATTACTCCACCCCAGGCACTATTCTATTCTAGTAACCCTCCTCTGAATCATATCCAACAATTCAATGTCCTTCCTAATGCAAGGTGCCAAATACTGAACACAATAATCCAAAAGTGGCATAAATAGTGACCTGTACAATGATATTATAATCTCTTTGGACTTGCATTCAATATTTCTGTAGATACAACCTAAAATCCTATTTGCCTTACCACTACTAACAACACACTGCTTAGATGGCTTAAGAGACTGAGCAACCTAACACCAAGATCCCTTTCTTTCACAATACTGTTAAGGTTATTCCCATTCAAATTATACTTATGATTGAAATTATGATAACCCATATGCCACATGCATTATCTTGCATTTATTATAACTAAAATCCATTTGTAAAGCAGCAGCATCCTGTTCACAGCTAGCACCAACCAAGACCTTAATATTATCAACAAATTTAAGTATATATGTATGTGTGTGTGTGTGTTTGTATATATATATATATATATACTACGAGTTTAATAAATCACATTACTGGCATTTTTAAGTAAAAATATTTTCAGAAAGTATTATTACTTCATTTCACAATTTAAAATTTTTCTGTTTTAATTCAAAATCTCTGGAATAAGATTTTCAGATAAAAATTCTGAAGTTCTATACTTCCAATGAATACAAAACAGTGCTTTTTACCAAGCTTATTCAAGCTATTTTTTTGTCAAATTACCTAAAAACAATTGGACTTTCTGGTGTCAACTTTCCTAAGCAAAGAGCTTTGCTACTTGCCATTAGACAAAAATCATATGTATACATATATATACAACAAAGAACAATTTAATTAAACAAAACACCTCACCTCTACATAAATCCCTTGAATGAAATTTGGTTGAGCAGGTATAACAAATTGTACTGATCCATCAAGTTCTGAAGTAAAATTCTTGCAACGTTTAGGTGCTGACATATCAAACCGTTGATAAGCTTCATAACAAATTTCAATAATTTCTGCTGGTGCTGGTTTTCCGTTAGGTTTTTTTACATTAATCTGGATGTTTGAAATCATTAGAATTTAAGTCTTTGTTTTTTAATTAATGTAAATGAAAAATAAGGTAACATTAAAATAAAGGAAATCATTTGTTCAACTAAATATTAGACATCAAAATATATAAAAAAAGATCAAGCAAAAAATACTATATGTACATATATTATTCCACTCATTAAAAAAAAGAATCATATATTCTATTTCAACTGCAGTCAGCATTAAGCATACCTTTCTACCAATTTCATTTATAATACCTTACATCTTGATAACATACTACTTTAAGTAAGAAATTAACACAAATTACCCTTAATTTATGTTACTGTCAATACAATGTTAAACTACTTTAAGTAACAAATTAACACAAATTACCCTTAATTTATGTTACTCTCAATACAATGTTAAACTACTTTAAGTAACAAATTAACACAAATTACCCTTAATTTATGTTACTGTCAATACAATGTTAAACTACTTTAAGTAACAAATTAACACAAATTACCCTTAATTTATATTACTCTCAATACAATGTTAAACTACTTTAAGTAACAAATTAACACAAATTACCCTTAATTTATGTTACTCTCAATACAATGTTAAACTACTTTAAGTAACAAATTAACACAAATTACCCTTAACTTATGTTACTCTCAATACAATGTTAAACTACTTTAAGTAACAAATTAACACAAATTACCCTTAATTTATGTTACTCTCAATACAATGTTAAAGAATAGGTTAGGAAATGAAAAAAAGAGAGAAATTTCAAAATAAAATATTTATAAAATCCCTCACTTTCCCAAAATATGGAAGACTTAAATGAAAATGAGCTGAGTGTAGATCTACATTTGGAAAAGTCAGCTCAATGGGTACAACAACCAGGTTAAGTTCTTCAGTGATACTTTGCATGGCATCTGTAACAGACACAAAAGTTTAGATATTCTATAGTAAAATTATTACACATAAAGAAATGAAGTTTTATTAATACTTGTTTGCATATATGACCACAATTTTAACCACCAAGTTAAAAAATAACTGCCTGAAAAAAATTATATCATTTACTGTGTTTCAAATGTTAATAAGGTCATTCTGTGTCAATATTTTAATATGGATATCAATATATTCAAAGGAGTAGTTATATAGAGAATAAGAAACAGTCACCTATGTAGTAATTTGATACTGAATAGCTGTCATCATCAAATTAATTAATATTTTTAAATAATTTAGATATTTACCTTACTGTATATCAATAATATGATGAAGATATAATATATACCTTTCCATGCTGTGAAAGCCAACCATGGAAACTAAAGCAGTTGTAGCATAATGTATAATGAATATTAACATCCTAGATGTCATGTTTTATTAAATACTCTGAAACTTTATAAACCACTCATTTTATTAACAAAGTTGACTCTGACTATATACTTACATTTCACTTTTTCTCTTTTTTCTATTTAATTGAATGTTACTCAACTTAGGTTTTCTTCCACTTGTATAAATAAAAGAAATTAATATTCTATGATGTCTTAAGTGTTTAAAAACTAAGGATATTTAAAAGGTTACATACATGTTTGTTTCTCAATAACAGTGGCTTTTAATATGATTGTTTGGAAGAAGTATTTCTCAGTTTTCCATCTCAAAATTTCTTCTTGAATAACTAAATCAAAACAGCCACTAATCTGCAAAAAAATCACATTTATTATGACCAAAATATCTAATTATAGAAATATATTTTCATTTTCAACTCTTTTCATGGAAATTAAATATCCACTTTTGTGTGAAAACTTTGTTATAATTCCTTAATGAATTAGTGCTGCTTTAGAGGTTAGTTTTCTTATAAAACTAATTTCTCCTCACAGTAAATACAAAAATGTCAAGGACATATATTTTTGAATAGATGAAATCAAATGTAACTGTTTGTTAAAAATTTCATAAATTTTCCTAAACAACAGGCAATATATCAGAAAACATTTATTAACAGGAAACATACATGACCACCATACTGAATTCTGATACTTTCAGTGTATATCAGGGATTGTGGATCTTCAATTCATCATTATTGTATAATGTAGTACATTAAAGTACTAAATCAGAGTAAACATGCCAAATTTAACATGTTGTGTACAAAATAAGAAAATATAACCACAATAGGGAACAAGGACACAGAAATTAAAGATGGTGATGTTTCATGCTAGTGCTCTATGTTAGATCATAAAGCTTAGAACAAAATGCACTTTTACCTAAGCTTACTATCTCACAATGAGCACTAGCTCAAAACTTCATCTTCCGGAAATTGTTTGTTTGTTTGTTTTTAGTTAAGCACAAAGCTATACAATGGGCTATCTGTGCTCTGCTCACCACGGGTATCGAAACCCGGATTCTAGCGTTGTAAGTTCGCAGACATACCTCTGTGCTTCTGGGGGGCCTTCCAGAAATAAAAATATATAAAACTTGGAAATTCTGAAACATAATCATTAACTAATATGTCATGTATCAGGCTGTATAAGTAATTCTAAAGGAGATAAGAGTATAAGATGAACTTCTCAAGGAGCAGAAATTAATGATATATGGGTAAAACAAACAGAAAGAGAAGGTAATAACAATCAAGTTTAAAATGTGCATTTTGAAGGAGGGGGATCTAAATCCTATATGGTAAATTTCTTAAGCTGTTTTATACCTTACATGTTTTACTATGTTAACTAGAAACATAAGTCTAGTATGGCTAACCCACTTTCAGGCATTAATATTCAATGACATCCAATAACCCTGCCATTCTTATAAAAGTAGTTAAGAAAAAAACGTTTGACTATTTTACAAAACCATTGTTTTTATAACCCACTGATGAAAAAGCCAAAGCCAAAGAGGGAAAAAGTTGTATGAAATCTCTAATGAAAATAACAAGTACAAAAAGTCTATATAAGTAAAGACAATGAAACTCTCGCACTGATAAGGAAACTTACTTTCAGCAGTATGTCATATCTCATGAATACAAAGAAACAATTCATGAAAAAATGAGTCACTATAAAAGTTTATAATCCTAAAATCACATTTTCTATGAGGATTTTAAAGTTTTATTTGGCCGGATAAAGAAATGATCTGACATACCTTAGTTTTGGGGATCCAAGGTTTTTGTAAAATCTTTGTATACAAAATATTTTTGTGGAAAGGAAAATGTGAAATTTTGCTATGCATTTTAATAGGTTATTAATACACATTATGCATACACATTTTGAGGTATTTGTTTAAAACTGAAGAGATAAACTGAATTTTTATTTTACATAAAAAATAAGACTTAATCAGCTCAAGAGTAAAGTTCTTTCTCACAAAGAATGAAAAATAATAAGCCAGAGTGATTCTTAAGTATTCACATAATATATACTTTACTCTCCCATAATGTATATCTGTTATTTAAAAAATTCATGAGTGTCTTAAGTTCTTATTCTCGAACTCTCTAAATCTGGTTGAGGTCATGCGATAAGTACAGACTTTTCTATAAAATTTATCTGTTACTTCATGATATAGTTGGATTGTGTCCTGCTTCACTTTGTATTTGGAAGATACCCTGTGGCTCCCACATGAAGCACAGATATTTCCTCCTTTCATATTAAATCCTTTTTCTCTCTCATCTTAGACAAATCTTTAAGTCAACTTTAAAGTTAGTAAAAATTATATATTAAAGCAGAAAGTGGGCAAAATCAATAAATTCAGAATCATAATCCTTAATTAGACTAAATAGAATTTGAACATAGTGGCATTGGATGAATAAAATAGGGAATCATGAAATGAATCATATGTACACAAAACTCACAGGTACAACACTAAAGAAGTATTTTGTTTAAAACACATTATCTTGGAAAGAAAAACTGCTTTTTTCCAAGTTTGATATGAGATTTTCTAATCTGTCAGAGTAAGAAAGGCAGACTGAAATTTTGCTAAAGATGATGTAGAAGCATCTACAGCCACAGGTAGTTGCTCCTCTCTCTTTTTTGTTTTTTTTGCCAATTTTATTTTCTTTGCCAAAAGGTATGTTTCTATAAAAATTTTAGGGAGTTTCTTGGAGTGGGAGGATATCCTAGTTAGCAGCTTAGTGAATTGCCTTTCTTCTGGCAGACTTCTGCACACACACCCTTACCAAGCACTTATTGTATCTCCTTTTACTCCTTTCACACTGCCATTAAGTTGATGTTGTTGTTTCCCATTTGGTGGAAGAAGTACTCAGATTACTGGAAGAAAGAAACAGAAGTATCCTAATCTATGGCACAACTCTAGTTATCACAGAGAAGCCAGGTTAAACTCTGCTGGATTTCTATGGCTTCTCATCTTCTGACAGAAAAATAATCTGTAAAGTGGGAAATGGTAGCACTGATCCACATTCATCAGCATTTGAGCTTCAAGCATGTTGGCTTCAAGAAACGTGATGGTGAGTGAACCCAATCAACTGGATTGATGTCAAGATCAAGGCTATCTTCCATGATGAAGGTTAAAACTTACAGTTTTAAAGTGAGATGATAAAACCCTATAACCCGAGTGCTTTCAAAAGGTGGACCTACTTTCTTCTTTAGGGGCAAACTGAGAGTATATCTGATTGTTTAAGTGAGTTAATTTCTTGAGCAGCATCTCCTCTTTCATTAGAGGAGGTTTGATGATATTCTAATCCACTTCTCATTCTGCAAGATAAAAGTAGCCTTCAAAGATGCCTTCATCCTCATCTGCAGCTTTGACTTATTCAATCTTTACTTCCTGGTCAAACTAGTGTTCCAAAGAATCATCAGGAATGTACAGTTTCAGCTTATAAACATGCTTTAGTGCAGAATGCGACTGCTTAATGATGCAGTTTTATTGGCAGAGTCACTACACATAAGGTCTGTGTCAGTGTGTTGGATATATGTGGGCTGGGATTCTCCTACAGTAGGTGCCTGTGACTTGTTGGTGATAAATTCAAACAATAAAAGGACAGTGCACAATACATTTGCTTTAAAATAATATATGCAAGATAAGTAAAACATATGTACAAAAATTTT